CTGGGATGAAGTTGAGTTGGTAGAGGTGAGAGAAAAGCCATTTGCAAAAGGAAATGTGTCTTTATCAAATTTGACAGTTTGGGCTGTGTAAGCCTTGCTGGATTTTTTCAAACAAAGATACCCTTTATGATGAGAGCTATAGCCAAGGAACACACATTGCTCACTATGAAATGAAAATTTGTGTTTTTGATAAGGCCTTATGAAGAGATAGCATAAACATCTGAAGGTGTGTAATGACTCATAGTTGGGCATTTATGAAACAATCTGTCAAAAGGTGACCGATGATTTATCACAGCTGATGGTAGTATATTGATGAGATACACAGCTGTATGAAACGCAAACCACTAGAAGGAGAGTGGCATAGAAGCCCGGGCAAGAAGGGCCAAACCTATCTCTGTGACATATCTATGTTTGTACTTTACCTTGCCATTCTGTTGATGTACATGGGGACATGGATGTTTGAAGTGAATTCCATGAGAGGCAAAGTAAGAGAGCAATGGTTGAAATTCTCCACCCCAATCAGATTGAAAGCTTCTGATTTTGGTGTCAAATTGTTGCTCAACAAGCTGATGAAATTGTTGAACAGCTAAACTTACCTCTGATTTGTATTTTAATGGATAAATCCATGAATATCTAGTGAAGTCATCCACTAGCAATAGATAATACTTGAATTCTGTGGAGGAAACTATAGGTGCAGCCCCCATGCATCGGCAAAGATTACTTCTAAAGGCATTAAAGAAGAAGTTGTGGAAGAGGGAAAAGATCTTTGAGTTAGTTTGCCAAAGATACAAGCTTCACAAAGATCTCTTTTATTGCTTTCAGAGGTAGGTACATGTAAGTAATTCATAACAGACTTTAACACAGCTACATTAGGATGACCCAAATGCCAATGCCATAACAGCATAGTTTTATTTGATGCTGACTTATTATGAACATCTATAGGACTATTACAAGTAGACTACTCATTATTCATTATTGATTCTTCAGATGACGCTAGGAAGGACTTCACTGGAGAGCTTTGAGACTTTCTTCTGGAATTAGCGAATGTAGATGATGATGTGTGGATAGGAATGGCTAGCTTATAGAGACCGTTTTGAAGAAATCCATGTAGAAGAATTTCTTGACAAATCTTATCCTTTACAACACAAGCATCATCTAAGAATTCTACCAAGACATTATTATCTCTAGTAATCTTAGAGATGCTAAATAGATTCTTTGTCACATCAGGTACACATAGAATATTTTTGAGATATAAAGATCTATTTCTTAATGTGGAAGGTAGAGTAATCAAACATGTATGTGATATGGACAGATTTTGCCCATTGCCGACTTGTAGTTTTTCTGCTCCAGAGTAATTAGTCTTGAATGAGAGATTTTGTGGATCAGTAGTGATATGATGTGTGACTCCAGAATCAATGTACTAGCTAGGATCTGCTAGAGTGGCTGCAAGTGAGATGATGATCCAGATGGATATTGTCCCACATTTTGGAAGGTTTAAGGTTGTTGAGAGGCAACATTTAAGCCCTGTGCTGATTCTGGTGAGGTGATTATTGCCATTGAACTACTGGTGACTATTAGGATTCCAATTGTGAAACCTTAGTTGAACATATCCAAAATGCACTGATTTATCAACCTGTGTTGGATTTCTTGAAGCATTCATGTTTGAGGCAGTGAAGTAAGCTTGATGAGCTTTCTAAATATTCTGCAGCAAAATTTTAGTTCTAGGAGGTGAAAATGTTCCATGATTCTGTCCTCCCTAGAATGAAGTGTCAAATCTATGAAAGAATTGTAACGCTATACGTCCAGATTTTCCACATACTTAGCAGATGACGCTTTGTTTGAAAAAGTTTTTGCCACGACCTCTGCCTTTGCCAACATTCAGATTAAAGTTGTGATCATATGTGTTCTGAAGTTTGGATTGTAATTGCTTCGATTGAACTGAGTATTGTATGAATTTGGTGCAGGTACATTAGGCTAAAGTGGTATATAATTTTGAAAGGTTTGGTGAGTATTTGGTTGACTATAACTAACTGAGGAGGATTGGTTTGTAGGCAGGTGTTTAGTAGACAGAAAAGTTGATGCCTTATGGAATCCAATGTATGCAGATTGCTATCTCTCTAACCTCATTTCGTGTTTATGGAGCAGGAACTGAGCTTCTTAAAGAGAGATTTCACTGCTTCTTGAAATGTGATTTGCAACAATTGCATCAAATTTAGGTCCTAGACCATCTAGAATGTAGAGTAGTAATTCCTCATCTCCGATCAGAACTTCACTTGCAGTTAGGGCTCTAGCAAATTCTTTCATTTTCAAGATGTATTCATTGATGCTCAAGTTATCCTTCTTGGTGGTTTGAAGCATGTTTCTCAAGTGCAAAGTTCTGGCTTCTAAATCGGTAACAAAATGCATTTCCAATGTATGCCAAATATCAAAAGCAGTACTACAATGAGCTATGTGTCTAAACATTGTTTCAGAGATTGAGGATGTAAGCCAACTGACCAAAACTTGATTTAGTTTCTTCCACATATTATACTCATTGTTAATTAGATTACTTTCTTGTTCTTGTTCATTTGATTTCTTTAAATGATAGTATTGAGGACAAGATTTTTCACCAATTACAAATCCATCCAATTCATAAGCAACAAGGGCAGGAAAACCTGTGATTTCCAGTAGACATAGTTGTTCTTTCCTAGTTTGACGGTAACAGTTGGAAGTGACACCATGACTAAAGAAGTTGAGCTCGGGAGCTGATTGCTGTTGTTGCTTTTGACGACTGGAGTTGACTGATCAAGATTTGCCATATTAGACGTTAGTCTTCTATAGCTCTGATACCATGTAAAGGCTATTTAGAGTGAAAATTTAGTAATCTAAAAATGCAGAGTAAGGATTGAAAAACTAAAAGAAAACAAAGCAGAAATGGCAATTGTTTCTCTTTAATTTTTCCAAGTACAGGGGACGTTCTTTTATACTGCAAATGCTTGAACACAATTGGAAGAGAATCTCAACCATTGAATTGTAACAAAAAAACAGAGAGGTCTTGATTGCTGTTGATTTTGCTGGGGAGGAGATCAACTTGTTCAGCAAGTTGACCAACTTGCTTAACAACTTCCAGCAACTTGATCAACTTGCCTAACTACCTATACCACTTGACTTTGGGTGGGAAGCATAACTGAATTTTGCAGTTTCAGTTCATTGGAGAGTAGTAGTCACTAGCAGTCCAAAATCCAGTATTTGTTTGTTGTTTGAGTGTAGCTTGCATTCTTAATAGTCTAGAGTGTGTGCACAATAGTTCTGTGCTCGCACACTCACATAAGATATTCTCAACTTGGCATAAATTGCGTTTTTGTCTAAAGCAGCAAAGATATTTATTCCTATTTTTTGAGCTATCTTAAGGACCACATACAGATGTCACAATACCCTCTTGTGGTCCAAGGGAAAAACCATTCTTTTTCTCGATTTGCTTGTGGTCCAAAATTAAAGTTGGAATCTTTTCCTCATTTGGACAAACATGAGTCAACCCTTGTTTGTTGACTTGACACAAATTATTGAGCAAGAAAACTCTTCTTTATATTCTTCATTCTTGTGTATTTGTGAACTAACCCTTTAATATTTCATTTGCTTGTGCTCTGAAATTTTCAGAGAGTTTTATTCCTCAAAGGTTTACCTTATGTTATTGTGCCAAACCTTCATCATCTCATATCCTTGTTGAATGGCGGCTAGAACTTGGTTCCATTGTTGATGCTAGAGTGTGGCTTTGGCGTGTGAAGCTTGGGTGCAGCTCAAGTGTTCTCGGGTGTGTTCCCAATGTGAAGAGGTCCTTGGAGCAACAGGACACTACTAGAGATTCAAAGGGTGGTGTTTAGTGTAACTAAAACAGGGAGTTCTCTTTCCTATAGCTAAAATCAACTTTTAACTATATCTTGTAATGTTTGTTGTTTAGTGGATTTGCTTCGATCTGGACAAGGTCCTATGGATGTAGGCTAAAGAGTGGTTTTAGCTGAACCATGTATATGCTGGTATGATTTACATTTTCTATTTATGGATGTTGATTTAAGCTTAACCTAATAATCATTAATCAACTTGGTAAAAACTTCCGTTGCACTTTAAAAAATAGGTACCTAAACGTTAACTAGAGTTCACCAACTCTAACAGTTAGTTTCTTCATGGTTATTGTTTTCGTTTTCTCAATTTCTTATGGTTACTAGTTATATTCTTATGCGTATATAGGACAAACGCTAGAAACTTATAATGGATCAACTACCAGCGATTCTCAAATATTATTGATGTTGTTTTCATCCATCAATTGTTAACCTCTGTTTGTTCTTTAAAAAGTAAGATTTATAGACTCTTAATTATAAGCAACTTGGAGCTAAAGCAATCTGAGCAAGAGAATAATACGTATCAGTCATTAGTTAAATGAACTGTATACAGGTCAAGAAATTATAAGTGATATCTTTTCTTGAAAACTCCATCATTCACAGAGACTTTTTTGGTTTTAAAAAACTAGTTTTTTAATTAATTATTTATGACAATTTTATTGAGGATTAATTTCTGAAACCAGCATACTGTTATATCTAACAAGAGCTTATTATAAATCCATCTAATTAAGAGACAAAATGAAGCGTCAGTTTTTAATTAAAGAAAATTGGTACCTTGAACAGCAAACGAAAATTTAAGATGAATATAATAGCTGCCAGCCTCTTTCCTTCTATTCCGAAACCTAGAAAGAGAACTCCCAGCTCTGGAGCTGATTGAATGAAAGAGGACCATTTCTATGTAAAAAATGTGTTGATGTAATCAACGAAGAAATTAAAAATTATACTTAACTAACATGTACAAACTAAGAAAAGAGAAAAAGAAAATGATAGCCAATCAAGACTTGGGAAATGGAACCACTCTTTGTCATCTACTTCAAGCAGGGGAAAACTATCGAGACTGGTTCAACAAATTTCACCTATAAATACAGTAGCTAGCCTTGCCGTATTTCTCACCCCTCACCAAGCAATATTAATACTTAAAGAATAGAGCGAGAGCATAATCAAAATGAAAAGTTTCGTTCAAGCTTTTGTCCTACTGGCCTTGGCTTCCTCATTTGCCTCCGCTTTTGACCCCAGTCCTCTTCAGGACTTCTGTGTAGCCATCGACGAGCCAAAGAACGCTGGTATTTCTCACTTCTCTTTATGTATATTCATATAATCTAGCTAACTCTTCTCCTATGTGTAGCTAGGCATTAATATTATCCTTACTGATTTGATTGTTTGATGCAGTGTTTGTGAATGGGAAGTTCTGCAAGGACCCCAAGCTCGCCAAAGCAGAGGATTTCTCCTTTTCAGTTCTAAGGCCTGGAGACACAAACAATCCAGTTGGTTCAAATGTCACCACTGTGAATGTAGATCAAATTCCAGGACTTAACACTCTTGGCATTTCAGCAGTCCGTATTGACTATGCACCTTATGGCCAAAACCCACCTCACACTCACCCTCGTGCCACTGAGATTCTTGTTGTCCTAGAGGGTACTCTACTTGTCGGTTTCGTCACTTCCAATCCTAACAACACACTTATCAGCAAAGTTCTTCACAAGGGTGACATTTTTGTGTTTCCCATTGGTCTCATTCATTTCCAATTCAATATCGGAAAGACAAATGCTCTTGCCTTTGCTGGTTTGAGCAGCCAGAACCCTGGAGTCATTACAATTGCCAACGCAGTATTTGGATCAAATCCTCCGATTAATCCAGATTTTCTAGCCAGGGCATTCATGTTGGACGTAAATGTGGTGAAAAATCTCCAGAAGAAGTTCTAGATAGATAACAAATAGAGAGATTTTTTCAAATGCCTGGTAATATGCTGGCCTTTGAATTTGATTGAGTTGTGACAATGATGTAATAAAGGGGTTACGTTTATTATTTATATGTACCTCCAGTTGCTTTCTATGTTTTTGTTACTGATATAATTAATTTGATTGCAGTTTGTTGTCTATTTTTTCACTTCTCTCTTCTCTCTTCTCTATTAGTTACATTTTTTTTTTTCTTTTTTTTTTTTTTTGGGTAAATAAGTATTCATAAGAAAAGAAAAGAATTTACCGAAGGCCATAAGAAAAGGGCCAACCTACCATAGGATAAGCCCTAGATTAGGCTCAAAAAAATCAAGTAATCACTAAGACTACTAACAAAAAACTAAAGTAGGCACCTAAAGCCAAAGCCAAAAGCAAAACCAACCACCAACACAAAACCAAACAATGAAAGCACACCTTAACCAAGGCTGTCCATCAACAGTCACTCCTCTTGTTTTACAATCTCAGGATATGCCCTTAGTTAGGAACAATGCTTAGCAAAACAAAAGAAGACACAAGGAAACTCAAAAGAAGAACCCAAAACAACTTAATCTTCATCCAAGGCATCAATCGAGCAGAGCGGGAACAAACGAAGAGGACTTGAAGACAGCCCTAGGGAGGCCCCATGAGTCTGCCAAAGTCCTATTAGTAAAGGAGGCCTTGAAGTTTTTAAAGTCAATAGCTCTTTCTGTCACAATGCATTTGATCGAATCAAATTGTTTCGAGATTGTTCACTTTGTAACAATGTTGATGAAGAAGAGCAGAAAATCTGCAGTTTGGAGAAGCTTATATAAAAAGAGGAAACGGAAGGCCATGTTCCGTTAAAAAGAATTGCTAAGAGAGTTAACGGAGTTGCAGAGTCGTCAAGGTCCGTTCAAAACAGAGCACAAGAGCTACTGGTTGAGATGTCTATGTAAACATTTGTACTATGCATTTTGTTGTTTAATGAAAATACTTTGCAAATTCTGTTATTCTCCGCTTCGTTTGCTCTGAATCTTTGAACAAAGCCTAACGCCAGAAAACTCAGTTTCAATATTTTGCAATTAAGTGTTTTAAAAGTTGACTTTTTGGACATCAATTAATGAGACTCCTTTAGTTGAATTTCAAGAAGTTAATAACTAATTAATTAAACAAACAACATTAAATGATAGAGTAAACGACCTTTTCCCACCCAAGGTTTGCCTTAATGACATTTTCCCACCCAAAAAGTTTTGAAATACCAATTTTTCACCCAAAGTTAATATTCTGTTACTACCCAAAGCCGATACTAGTGGCTAAAATTCCCGCTGTCACCACCATTTGAACCTCCGGTCTCCGCTATACAAAACCCTCTCACTCCAATACCTAATTTTTTACTGATTGCCGACCACCGCAAAGCTAAAGTTTCCTGTTCTTAGTCACCACCATTTAATCCACCAGCTTCTACTCTACAAAATTTCTTTTACACTGACTTCTGGTAACTCGTCGAATGTTGGCTAAGAAAGTGAAGTGTATTTTAGATATTAACGAAATATTAACTTTGGGTAAGAAATTTGTATTTTGAAACTTTTTTATGGGAAAGGGTCATTTAAGGGAACCTTGGGTGAGAAAAGGTGGCTTACTCTTTCATGATAATTAATTTATGACTATATCTGGTCTGGCCCATTGTCAACTTTTTGACCAAATTGGCGGCTAGCTATAATTATCTATTAAATTTCATGGCTAGATATTGTTCTTAATCTAATGAAAGGCAAGGTGCCAAGGAGAATAAACGAAGGAATCGTTCCTTTCATGTGTGGGTCAAACATTAGAAACACAAAGTGGTTCAACAACATTAACGAATATTTGATACTATTTTCACCAGTCAAATATTCTTTAACAAATCTTTATTCTTTAAACCAGCTCCTTTAACAATTAAATTTTAAAACCATTATTTCTTGCTTAGAAAGCTTGTAAGTTCTCAGAAAATCCACTTAAGCATTACTTTCTAATCTTATTTGTTAAGAATTACTTTCAATAACATCTTGAAGTTTTCAATTAAAATCAATGAATGGCACATTGGCTTGAATTAATGTGAATGGTTATTTTTCTTTTTTTTGCTTGTTACATAACCTATCGATTATAAATATCAACATATCATTAGACAAATCATGTGTATATCAAACCAAAGATTAGCAAAATCAAAATATATCAAATTAGTAAAGCTAAGTTTGTGAAAAAGTCCATCCCCTGTTCAGTCTCCAACCATACATAGAAAATTGGAAACAATTAGTCCGATAGTTATTTCTCTTAACAATTTCAATACCAAATTTGCTTTGCAAGGCCGGCTTTGAAATTGGAACCCCTGTAGACCCTGCAATTTNAAGGAGGCCTTGAAGTTTTTAAAGTCAATAGCTCTTTCTGTCACAATGCATTTGATCGAATCAAATTGTTTCGAGATTGTTCACTTTGTAACAATGTTGATGAAGAAGAGCAGAAAATCTGCAGTTTGGAGAAGCTTATATAAAAAGAGGAAAACGGAAGGCCATGTTCCGTTAAAAAGAATTGCTAAGAGAGTTAACGGAGTTGCAAAGTCGCCAAGGTCCGTTCAAAACAGAGCACAAGAGCTACTGGTTGAGAACTTGAGATGTCTATGTAAACATTTGTACTATGCATTTTGTTAACGCCAGAAAACTCAGTTTCAATATTTTAGCAATTAAGTGTTTTAAAAGTTGACTTTTTGGACATCAATTAATGAGACTCCTTTAATTGAATTTCAATAAGTTAATAACTAATTAATTAAACAAACAACATTAAATGATAGAGTAAACGACCTTTTCCCACCCAAGGTTTGCCTTAAGAACATTTTCCCACCCAAAAAGTTTTGAAATACCAATTTTCCACCCAAAGTTAATATTCTGTTACTACCCAAAGCCGATACTAGTGGCTAAAATTCCCGCTGTCACCACCATTTGAACCTCCGGTCTCCGCTATACAAAACCCTCTCACTCCAATACCTAATTTTTTACTGATTGCCGACCACCGCAAAGCTAAAGTTTCCTGTTCTTAGTCACCACCATTTAATCCACCAGCTTCTACTCTACAAAATTTCTTTTACACTGACTTCTGGTAACTCGTCGAATGTTGGCTAAGAAAGTGAAGTGTATTTTAGATATTAACGAAATATTAACTTTGGGTAAGAAATTTGTATTTTGAAACTTTTTTATGGGAAAGGGTCATTTAAGGGAACCTTGGGTGAGAAAAGGTGGCTTACTCTTTCATGATAATTAATTTATGACTATATCTGGTCTGGCCCATTGTCAACTTTTTGACCAAATTGGCGGCTAGCTATAATTATCTATTAAATTTCATGGCTAGATATTGTTCTTAATCTAATGAAAGGCAAGGTGCCAAGGAGAATAAACGAAGGAATCGTTCCTTTCATGTGTGGGTCAAACATTAGAAACACAAAGTGGTTCAACAACATTAACGAATATTTGATACTATTTTCACCAGTCAAATATTCTTTAACAAATCTTTATTCTTTAAACCAGCTCCTTTAACAATTAAATTTTAAAACCATTATTTCTTGCTTAGAAAGCTTGTAAGTTCTCAGAAAATCCACTTAAGCATTACTTTCTAATCTTATTTGTTAAGAATTACTTTCAATAACATCTTGAAGTTTTCAATTAAAATCAATGAATGGCACATTGGCTTGAATTAATGTGAGTGGTTATTTTTCTTTTTTTTGCTTGTTACATAACGTATCGATTATAAATATCAACATATCATTAGACAAATCATGTGTATATCGAACCAAAGATTAGCAAAATCAAAATATATCAAATTAGTAAAGCTAAGTTTGTGAAAAAGTCCATCCCTGTTCAGTCTCCAACCATACATAGAAAATTGGAAACAATTAGTCCGATAGTTATTTCTCTTAACAATTTCAATACCAAATTTGCTTCGCAAAGCCGGCTTTGAAATTGGAACCCCTGTAGACCCTGCAATTTTTAGGAAGTGGGTAACAATTTCAATACCTGATTTCATATACATTTTTGCTCACTTTCAAACCTTGAAACAAAGATATCCATTGTTAGATTAGGAGTCTTTTCCTAATAGGATATTAACTTCTAATAGGATATAAATCCTTATTTCTTAAGATTCTTTTCCACGTAAGATTAGGATAAATTATTATCATATTTACATTAGATTTATCTCTTTTATTTAGAATTCCTATTGGCTGAGGACTTTGGGTTCCTAAAATCTTAGATTAAAGTACTATAAATAAGTGATGTATTGGGTCTTTTGTAACATTTCATTAAAAGATTGTAAGTAGTTCCTAGATAGAGAGAGAGATTCATGTACTAGTGAAAGTAAATATTTTTGTGTTACAACTCTTGTTTTAGGCATATTGCCAAATCAAGTAAATCATGTGTCTCTTCTCTTTTGTTCTTTATTTTACTTCCTTGTGAGTGTTCGAATTAAATCTATTGGTTGTATGTTTGACCCAATAATCACATGAATTCGACCTAGTAATTTTGCATTTATGAATTTTAACAACTCCTAGACTCAAAGTACTTACCTTATCGTGACATTAAGTGCATAACTTCCAAGTAATGGCTTTACCAAGTCAATAAATTAAAAACCTAATCCAAACTCTTTCAACATTTGAAAAAACTTTTATAGTTAAATTAATACTAAAGGACGTTATCTAACATTATTAGAAAGTGATGGTCAACATTTATTTCTGCAGAGACGATTTTAAGACTCAAATGTATATTTTCCTCCAATTATTTCTGCAGAACACCTGGTCCACATGTATCATATGGCTTTATATATGCTAAATAATCGATTAATAAAATTTTAGGTGCTAATAAAATTAATTATCGTATTTTTCCTATATATGGCTTAATCAAACCATATATAGGAAAAATATAATAATTTATTCAAAAACTATCTTTTACATTATTTCTTCTCAATATTAATTTAATTGATTTTACGACTATTTAATTTATTTTCTATCATTGATTTTATGATTAATAAATTAATCATTAATAATTTAACTAATAAGATTGATTTAATTTCCAATATTATCTCACTTAAAATTTAACACTTTCAGTAAGGGGATTCATTTCTGTTCATACTGTTATTTTCTGAATAAGAAAAAAAAATGGTCAGAGTTTTTCTTAATAAAATAT